ATATTTTGATGCAGGTTTCTGTACTTGTTACAGTTCTAGACCAACAGGATATACTCAACCTTGAACTTGCTTATCTTGACCTTAGATATTGTCACCCATGTGTATTATTTGTGAAGATAGAAAAGTTGAAAACTGGTTTCTCTTTTTCTGTTATGAGGTTTGCCTGGTGACATGACATTTTAAGAAGTTATATATATAAAAACAGAATTGTATGTTTGTCTGTCTGCTAACTCCTCGCACACTATTTGACCAATCACCAAACTTGGTATGGTGACTCCTACGGTCCCCATAAGTAACATGAAGGGGCAAAATTCCCACCAGGTTTCCCATAAAATCTAATTTTTGGCTTTTAATTCAGTTTCTTGTCACGCTCCTTTTGGTAATACTCAACACTATACATCGTCACTTAGCAACAAAACTATCACAATAATGCTTTTAGGCTAACAATATTATTTATGTTGAATGTGCAGTGTACATGTTAATTTGTGGTTTATTTTTATTTTTAATAACTTTGGTGATTTAAAAGCAAATGGTTTAATTCAGAAACTTCTTCTTAAGTTAGTGTTGGAAAGTTTCCAATCAAACATCTACATTACTATTCCAGACAAATGTGGTAACTTAGTTAAGGATGCAGAAGAGCTAAAGGAAAAGGTGTTCCCTAATATTTGCCAAAATTATTAATGGTTGTATGCAATTCTTGAATCTCGAAATGATACTGTTCATGACACAATGATCAATTATTGTAAAAGGTTCCTGGACAGGAATTCACCAACAGCTCAATTGTCAGTGTTCTAGTTACAGTTAATGCTGTAAATTACCCAACTGAATTCCTAAATTCTCTTGAACCACCAAGGATGCCAGGTCACATTCTGAAATTAAAGGTTGGTTCACCAATAATTTTGTGGAGAAATTTTGATTCTCCAACATTATGTAATGGCACAAGTTTAGTCATTAAGACCTTACTGCCACATGTTATTGAAGCAACAATTACAATGGGTCATGCCAAAGGTAAAGATGTCTTCATTCCAATAACTCCTTTGCTACCAAGTGATTACCCCTTTGAATTTAGAAGGTTCTAATTCCCAGTTACAATTTGTTTTGCAATGTCAAGATTTAAAGGTTGTTGGATTTTTTCGTAAAGCAGTCTTGCTCTTCACATGGTCAATTCTATGTAGGATGTTCAAGGATTGTATTTCATCAAAACCTGTTTATATTGTCAGAAGAAGGAACAACAGCCAATGTGATATATCAAGAAGCTTTAATTTAGTTTATGTAATTTTGTTTTGAAAATCAAAGGTTTAGATAAAAAATTAAAATGTTATAAAAAATTGAACTTTTTAAATAAATGTTCTTAAAAGTAAGTTCATTATGTTTTTAAATATCTATTTCAAATAAATTGGACACCTGTGCATGGAAGGGTAATTCAGCTAGTATACTATAAAACAAAGTACACATATATAATACATAGATAATAGTCTATGTAATGTATAGAATATAATTGCAGTATACAGCAGTACAGAATGCAGTACACCATGCAGTTTATAAAATAGTTTATGTAGGAGAGATAATAATTACTATATCGTGTACACAGTACATGTATAGTATGCAAAATATAACATATACAGTGCACAATATATAGTTTATAAAACCTGGCATCTGATGCAAAGAAATATTCCACTTCTTTATCTTCACCCATCGGACAAAACTCAGTTGTGGACTCTGATCGCTTCAAGCTAGCTGTACTGTTTGGAATGGTTGACGAATGACACGGACGATGATCTGGAAGTAGACAAAATACATGTTAATAAGGAAGTTTCACTTAATGTTTCATCTTACTTTCAAATTGAGTCAAATGTTCATTTCACATAAAGTTCATTCCTTACTATAAGTAGTCATTTTTTGAGTGAATATTGTTATTTTCATTTGTAAAAATCAGTTGAGAAACATTTTTTTTATATTAATATTTTGCAATAATGTATTTGAAAACTTTTTTTTATGATTTAACCAAATTTCTAATTTGATGGATATTATCAAACTAATGATGTGTGCAACTGAAATAAGAAATGAGAGTATAGAACTATTATAAGTATATACGAGTACATTCACAAAATTTGAAATAGTTAATTAAAAGTAGAAAAATTAACACCATACATTTATTCTTAGAAAATGCACAACCTCAAAAGAAAAGAAAAACAACAGCTTAAACTTGGAATAATTTTAAGTTTTTAATATTACCTAAACATATATGTATTAAAATATATTTTTTATTTCACAAGGTCAAATAACAAAATAGTAAGAATTATTTTAATATTCTAACTCTTATCCAAACTGGTATTATCTATGTACAGAACATGTATATTAAAGCCAACATAAACTTTCAGGGTGTCACAGAGACATCTTATAATCTTGAGCCAGAGATCCTTGGCCCACTTTTTTTTTAGTAACACGTGCTTTAAAAACCTGTTCTGTTCTATATATCTGTGTTTAATCTGGAAAACCTTAAACTGACGTACTAAAGCTAGCCTTAGAACAAGTAATCAATATTTATTACAATCATACTTATTTTCCTTTTCTTCTTTTATTATAGTTTTTTTTACTTTGGAAACTATATACATGGCTTATGTTAAAAATAGTTTCCAGAAGCACAGCTTAGAACTTAATGAACTTATACAAAATTAATAAACAAAGCTTCAAGCTCAAGTATGAAAAACAAAACTTTTTTTTACCATAACTGAATTTGTATTTTCATTTTTGAGGAAGTTTGCCAAATTTATGTTATTTTCTGTAACATGCATTACATCTATAACCACTCATTTTATTATAGTTTTCACTTCTCCAACTTTATGTGAATCTCAACCTTAAAACATATATAATGGCAAAAAGTGTTATGCAACATTAAATATAGGAAAATAGTACTAAAAAACATAAGCAATTCAATTTGAACTTAGCTACTTGATTTTTAACTCTCATAACTAAACTCAAGAATACAAAAAGAGTTAAGCAATGTATACCTTCTCTGTCCTTGGGGTCACCCTCTAAAAATCCAGGTGATACAATATAAAGTGGTTTTATACACAGGAACAAGCACAAAGCATGAAAAAAAGGACAATCACATGAATAGAGAAGTGAAAAATCCGCATAAAATGTCTTTCATTTTAATTAAGTTTTTCCAAAACGAGGATTTCAGTAAAATAATTAATATGCATCTGTAAAAACAAACTACATACAAAATAATTCTTGAATTGCAAGTTAAAAGAAAAGTTGATAGTGCAAACTAGAAAAGGATTTATTGGCATAAAACAGTCATCTAGCTGTAAAATGAAAGGAACTTACAGATATGATATGGTTATGTTCAAACTGGGAAAAAATATACAAAAATGCAAATATAAAGAATTAAAAGTCGCTGTTTATTCCTAAGTAACTTATATATAATTGAACTACCACAAATTAATTAAAAATAATATATTTCCATAATGATCAAGGAAAGATTTTTATTAGTTTTAAGAAGCTTTTAAATACTCCATTATCTAAACACCTTATAATCTGAACTCATTTTTCTTTTTCATCATCAAACTAATGCTCTTTTTCATTATAAAAACATTTTATCAAGCCAACTCTAGTCTTGTTTTCTTATCAAAATATTTCATAGAGTCTCAACTCATTCCTTTTTATTTTTTATCCTTCTTTTCCTAATAGTATGAACACAAGGCACATGAAAAAAATTGGGCATTCAAAGTGAAGTTTTGATGCATATATCCTTAATTTTAATTTTCTTTGAATTCAGGCATGCAAGTAAACCGTAAACAAAACCAAGGGAATTCAGCACGGATTTAAGGGCTGCCAAACATACCCTCCCATCACCAAATTTTCTCCTAAAGTCTGCACTGGTTTGATCATTGAAAAATAAATAATCAAGTATGACTCAAAAAATGCAGTTACAAGAAAAATACTCAGAAAAATGTTTTCCCAGTGTACAGATTTTTAAGAAGGTCTCATATTCTGGCAAATCTGTAGAGGTTTAAGAGACAAGGGTGTGTTTGTTTGTTTTTTAAATGCCTCTAAATTGGGTTATTCAACTGTTTTAATTTGTAGAATATATCTTATCAGTGTTACATGCATATGAAACTACAAGCAGTATTTTTACCACAGAAAATTCCTCATTTGTCATCCCTATACCATATCCCTTTCAACTGAAATTTTCATCATGCTTTACATATAAATTTGAAAATTTGTATGCACTGTAAGCATGCACTTGTACACATTTATAGACCAGATGGAAAAATCCCAAGTGGAGGCAGTACATTTAAATGAGTTTAAGAGAAAGCTTGATAAGTATATGAATGATAAGGGCTGGCTTTAAGATTTTTTTTCTTAATTTATTTATTAATAGTTTTAATTTAATTTAGAGGATGGAACAGCCAAGGTGGACCAAGAACTCCCATGTTGTCCCAAAAGGTTATGTTATATTAAAATAAATGCAATGTTACAAATACAAGTATAAACATATATATAGCCCAGGTCATTCTTTATTTTACAAGTTTCCCTTTCTTCATAATATGCATTTATGTTATTTAATATATCAAAACACAGAAGCGCATTATAAATGTCTTTTAGAAAACAAACAGAAACAGATGAACAAAGACAGAAAGAATGATAGATCTTTCAAACAGCATGAACAGATTTAGGGACACAGAGCTTGATGTAAAGTCATCTTATTAGCTTACAGGGCACTATTTTTTTTTTATTAACTTGAAGTTATGAGAGTTGAGAAACTTAGGTAGCAATTGTTTTATAAGTAATCGTATAGTTTTCATGTATGTGTGAATCATTACTTTGATATTTATTACTATTTACTTACAAAATAGTTCAAATAACCTCACTGGGCACAGGCAGAAAATATTTATTTAACACCCTTGTTCCCTTAAGCAGCATATCTTATAAGAAAATCTGGTTTATCACTAACATTTTAAAAAATAATGAATTAAATGTTATACCAAAAGTGATCTCGACATATATTTGTTTTTTCTATAGATGTAAGTTTTCAAAACGTTATTTAAAGTTCTTTTATTTGACTTTTACAATATAATTTCAAAACAACTTATAACAAAATATCAAACCTTTCATTTTTAATAATTTTTTGTAAGGAATGACCTGCATGAGCTATGATCTTACTAATGTTGCACAAATTAACAGTTCTGTATTTATCGACTGCCTAATTTTTAAACTGTACCAGCTAACAATTAACTTTGTCATATACCTGGTTTCTTCTTTTTCTCAGACTCTGGGAGTACAAATGGAGTTGATGAATTGTTCATGATGGTAACATAAAAGAATAAACAAACCAGGAAAAATGATACAGATTAAAAACATGTGATATTATCCTTTAGTTTTATATTATAAATTACCAAAGTTGAATTGAAATATGACGCAAAACATTTTGTTAAAGATAGAATATAATTCCTATTTGATTTTTAAGTTTTATCCTATATTGTGTTTGTATATTATAATTTAAAAATATAAATTTATTTTATAGAATTGTGAAGATAGATATAACATTTTTAGTTCATAGAGTCAAAAAAATAAATTTAATAGGGAATTGGAGAAATACCTGGTACACCAGATCCACCCCTGCTCTTTGTTGTATTTTGTACACTTACTTTACTTTGAATATTGTTTCAGTTTAAAATGTTTCCTATTATCATAAAATGTTCTCTATCACTATTTCATACAGCTTTCTCTTGCAATAAAAACTTCACACGATTTATCTAAACTTTGCTTAACTTTCATCAGGTGTTACAGGATTACCTATGTGTAAAAAAGCAAACGAAGAAGTAAAAACATTTTTCAACAGTCTTGTTTTAAAATTCCAGTTAAAAGAAAAAATTTCACTAGTTACTCTCTCATCATACTAAGTAAACAAAATGTGGATGCTAAAAGTTAATGTGAAAAAAAGAAGCATCACTGTAATAACTAAAAATTTTTGCTTCTATTCACTCCAATAATTTCAAAACTTTGAGAAAAATTACTAGTTCATTTCTCTTTTAATTCATTTCTAAAAGCATTAATTTACCAAGAAGCAAACACCTAGAGCCTCTTAGGCAACTCAGAAAGGTTATGTACCTGTAGAACTTTTTCCTGTGGTGTCTGGGGCATAACAAAAAAGGAAGAATCACAAAGAAGATAACAGGAAACATGGAAAAAATAAAAATGTTTAGTTTAAGTAACTATTAATAACAATTATACCAATCTCTTCTTTTCCCCTTTCAAGGTTTAAATCAAAATTGAGAAACCTACTTCTGCCATGAGTGATCTTGTATGGTAATAAAACTGTTTTTATTGAAATATAAAAGACTTGAGTGTTTGGTCCTTTGAATGATCAGAATACATTCATTAATATTGAATGTACAAGAACGTGAGTATACACCTTTATACATAGTACTTCAAAACCAGCAAAATTGAAAAATAAAACAATATTCTGATTAATTTTTTATAGGCATAAAAACTAAGTTCTTACATTCTAGCATGTACATTTAATCATCTCCAACAAATACATATTCACCAGTTATAAATATTGTTTTAAAGGTACTCCTACAATAACGGACATTGTAATTTTAGTTTTATGAATTAAGCTCTCTACTACTAAAATGTTCAAATTATAGTCACACTTTTTAATACATTAGCATGGTATAAGTGATAATCAATAACAAAAATATATGTAATAGACATATGAAATCATGCGCTTTATCAAAAAACAAAAAAGCTCAATTAATGCATTAAAAAACAGCAGTCACATCATGCTGCAACGTGTGCAAGACAGCAAAAGCACTGGCAGGAAAATAGCAGTATATATATATAGTTTTGATTCAGCGTGAAAAAACATTGTACAGCATTCCAGTACACCATAACCACCACCTGCAATAAACCACTCTCTCGAAATACCATAACATGTTTAAAGTCATGCAAAATCAACCTATGAATCATTTGAAACATTTTTATATTCTCATCCATCTAATTAGATTTGTTGGAGAATGATGTTTCTATGGGAAAAGACAAATCCTCATGGAGACCCACAGTAGTAGATCAAACATCATCCTCAAAAAACTGTCAAACAGATAGAATAAATCTGTCAAAGCCATATATACAAATCCTGAAAAAGAGTTATACACACATGTTGGATAGCTTTGATTCAATGTTCTCTAGAAGCCAGTCATTATAGCAGTTTCTCTAAATGGATTTTTAGATAACATATCTGAACAAGTACCATATTTCAGTACACATACACAGATTGCAACAATGCAAAACACCACAAGCTGCACAACTGTATTATCTTCATTAGTTAGAAATTAACCTTCTATAAGACAAAGTTATTAGCTAGGCATACTCAAACAAGTTTTGCATGCAAAAATTAAAATTTTCATTTTTATTTTAAAGAAGCTCAATATTATATATTTTTTTTGCTTGACCTACACCAAACTTTATTATGCAATTTCAAATATATCAAAAACCTTTCAGTTCAATGTTTGATTACAAGCCTACCCTTGCTGAAGAGAACAGGAATGTAGTCCGTTGCCAGATGAGTTTTACTTTTAATTCCCACAACCAGAGAACTTCCACGCCTACAAGATAACAAAATATTCAAAATAAGTTTGTTAGAAAAGCAGTTCAATGAGACAAGAGAAATTTTGGGGAGATTTAATACACACATTGAAATGATTTACACATTCTAACTATTGCAAGTCCCCACAATTAAAATCAAATATGTAATTAATAATATATGACTTGTAACCAACATTTAGTAACTTTCATTAAATATTGGAGCTAAACACTGAGGTATATATAAAAAAACTGAATATATTGTCACAGCTCTAAACTATTCAGTAAACAACACATGAACATTTTTGCTAATTCAAAGTAACAATAATTTGATTTCACATTCCTTAAATCAAAAGCCATACAACTAAGTCTAAAATCTGTAGTTTCTTGGTGTGTTTTTTCTCCATATTATAACTATCACTTTGACAGATGTATCTATTTAGAAGCACAATACCGAGCAGAAGGTTTTAGAATACAGTATGAGAAACTTTGTTTTCAGTGTTGCTAATCTCAAGTTATATTATTGCCATTACAGGAACATTTTTTCACTGTGTTTCTCCTGCTTCTAAGGTTAAATTTGTATTTTATTTATACTTAGTAGTGTTATAAATATTTGATACAATGCTACCTGATAACACCTACATTTTCACAACTTCCTGATAAATTGTTTACATGTTTTATAAAATATTTTCAAAATTTCATCATTTCTAACCTGGCTACCACACACTGTCCTGGATACTTTACACTCTTCAATGCCAAAGCAAATGCCCCTTCCTGAAAAAAAAATTAAATCATGTACTATGTCAATTATTTATTCAACAACATTTATTAAACACACATAAATATATTATTCCCTTCTGTGAAAAAAATAAATGTTTTCACTAAAAAAAAATATATGTGAAATTCAAAATGATTATAATTGGTAAAGAATTTCCTTCTTTTTGTCTTTTTGCAAACATGAATAATATTTCCTTTACATTAAAGTTTGGAAGAAAAATAAAATAATTTACCTTACATTTGTGCATCTCACTCAAAACTAATTTTTGGAAGCTAAGAAATTTAAATGTATACTTAGTAAGATCATTTATATTTCTGTTTTAGATACACTTATTCTAAATGGGTAATAATGAAATTACAAAATAAAAGAAATTTAATGTTTACATACAATTATAAAAAACAAAAAAGATTGGGCAAACAATATTGAAGTAAATACCTGTAAAATAAAGAGACACATTTCATAAAAAAAAAATCACTTTAATACAGCTTAACATAACTTACCAGTTGCTGAACAACCTGTTCCACAAGTTCCCTAAATGACAGATCTGGGTGGTTATCATGAATGTGCTTAATCAATTTGGCTATTACCTCAGTGTCAGTTTCAGATTCAAATTTGTATCCTTTCTTCAGCTGAAAGTTAAAAAAATCTTATTATGTATTTCATGTTACACACAATAACACATGGATATAGTGTAACCAGTCTGTAATTCTTAATCCATTACATACACACACACACACATAAAACTATTTAGTGTTGCACATCTGTGACACTTAAGGCAATCTTATACAGATTTGGCATTACATACAATCGCACAAGGATACAGTGTGGCATATCTGTGATATTTAAAACACCCTTACAATCCTACATAGATATTGATGTTATGCACATTCACATACAGTAAAACTTAAAACAATCTTTCATGGATTTGATTTTAAACACAAGCATATAAGAATATAGTTCTGCACATCTATGATATACATGAAACAATCCTACATGGATTTTATGTCAATAAACACAATCATCCAAAGGTATTGTGTTACACATCTGTGATATACATGAAACAATATTACATTATTTGATATTAAACACAATTATACAGGGATACTGTGTTATATTTCTATGGCCAGACAGCCCCATTAATAGATTACATTTGAATAATTGATTAATACAGTGTTCCTCAGATCATAGTCACCACAAGCAAAAAAGAAACTAAATGTTGGTAGCGAGTACTGCCAGTCAGTTGCATTTATTCTAGTCAGCAATTCAAAATTAGTGACAATTACATATGGCCTTAATAACTTTTCCATAACACATACAGGGTGAGTAAGTCTGGTTAAAATATTTCAATAACTCAGATAGTTGGAATAATTACAAATAGTAATAACCAGAAACCTAAATTTCAATTAGTTGATTATTTTCCTAACAATCAATTCAATAATAATTTTGATTAATTGAAAACAATAAAGACCAGAAACACTAATTTCAAAAAGAAAATACATTTACAAATATTTAGTTTCAAAAGCCTGAGAATTCGTACTTTGACAGCCTAAAGATTTAAATAAAGGTCATATAAGAACCATTTCCATACTTTATAACCTTGATATTTTTTAACTTGAGTATTTCAAAAGCTTTATTGTGGTTTTAAGACAATCAGCATATAGATCATACTTCACCCACATAAATTGTAGAACACTTCACCCACAAAAATTGTAGAACAGTTCACTCATATAAATTGTAGAATGCTTCACTCATATAAATTGAAGAACACTTCACCAATATAAATTGTAGAACACTTCATTCATATAAATTGTAGGACTTACCAGGAATTGCTTGATGTCACTATAGTTGGTTATTATTCCATTATGAACAACAGAAAATTCTGAAAACAGACAAAAATACAATTTCATTCATAAACACCAGTAGCACTGCATTTCTTGATAAGTACAGTGACATAAGTAATTTATGAACTGTTTATGTGAAAATCCAATATCATGTTTTTATGAATGGATAAAACCTGCAACCGAAGAAAACATCAATGAAAGAGGAATTGAATTTAAATAGAAATAAATGTATTATAATAAAAGTAAACAATATATTTTCAAATTTATTTCCTAGTCATAACCTGGAAAATAAAAGCTATTTCCTAAAAATGGGGTAATAATTCTTTCCACTAAAAGAACATATAATTCAATTTATTTAAATCAACAGAGTTTCATTGTTAGATAAATCATTATATATCAATCTAATGTTTCGCTTACAAGTTAGTCCCAAAGAAAAGAAGCTGGAATTGTTATCTTTACAACCTTTGTTTCATTCTGCAAATATACAAAGTTACCAAAGAAAAAAGAATATAAAGTTAAACAGGTCTTTTCTCTAGGTATGGTAAAGTAAATTGTATTACCAATAGTTTCATCAGAGCGATGAGGGTGACTGTTCAACTGACTTGGTGCACCGTGTGTAGCCCAGCGAGTGTGAGCAATCCCAACATGAACGTCAAATGATTGGTCAAAATCAAGATCTTCCAAATCTAAAAGTAGAAAATCATTCAGTAAATATAATTTCATCACGCAATGCCAAACTTGCTATCATTCAAACTAATTAACTATACATACACATATAATCATAAATCAAACAACACAGAGCTTGAGCATGATCTCTAAAATCATATTTAATAAGTTAAAAATTGACAAAAACTAAATTGAAAGTTGAATACCAGAAAAACCTCATTAAGTCACAATGGCATGCATTTCATGACTTAATTAATCACTTTTATCACAATTCTATTACCATTCAACATAATCAATTATTACAGAAATTCAATTACCATTAAGCATGAGCCAGTTATCTTGGTCATTCAATTTCCATTCAGAATCAACCAACTGTGACATTAACTCAATAATCATTAAACATAAACAATTATGACTCAATTATGGTTTGGAATGAATCAATTATCATAACAGAAACTTAGCTATCACTAAACATTTGTAGATTATCAGTTGTTTCAATTATTATGAGTATCACAGAGAAGGAGACTCGGTTATTCTCCATCCCTTAAATAACAATATATTGATAACTAAATTATCATTAATCTTATTAACTAAGTACTTATGCAAAGCTAATTTTGCAGACTAGAATAAAATAAATTATAACAACTCAGCTAAATAAGGTCACTTTATGGTCTTTTTTTTTTTACACAGATATTTAACATGCAAAGCTATTTCTATAATATAAGTTTATACAAATATTTTATAGTTTGTGTATCAGCCTGAAACATTATCACAATTCTTAATTTCCCATATAATTTATAATAAACAAACATTTCTGACTTACTCCAAATTTTATCCTCCAACATTTTAACCTTCCCACACTGTCGGATGATTGTGGTCTTTCTTCCCTCAGCATCCTCATCAAATGCAACACCTTAAGGAGCACAAATATAAACAGATCACACAGCTCGATTATTCTTGTTCAAATTTTACTTGAGCAAGTCAGTGTAAATTTAATAACTTATTCAAAATGTGTTTTTGAATAAAATTATCTTTATTCTGCAACATGGAAGGCAACTAACATTCTTACAGTAAAGACTAGTAACTTATTCTGTGAATGCTAATATTCAATGGCTATCCAATCATCTTAAACATAAATTATTAGTATTAAAAGTAAATATCTCATTTTTTGCACATCTTAGTATTTCCTAAGTAACTTTTAAGTTAATTCACAAACTAAGCTTTAAGTATTTACTAATTTTTTTCTATTCTACTCTGTTTTAACTAATATATACACACACACATTATCATATTTGAAAAGTTAATCAAAACAATAACTGTTTGAGTTCACTTCCTTATAAAGTCCTAAAGTTCAAACTATATGAAACATAGCAGAAGGGAAAAGTTTTAAGAAATAAGCTTTCTCTAATTAATCATTCATATGACTTTAACTTTTCTATATACATATATATATATATATATATATATATATACTATGTGTGTGTGTGTGTAGTAAACTACCACTACTTATGACATATAGTATAGTAACGTAAACTAAAATTAAGTAAACTAACTAATTTAAACGTTTAAACCTTTTAAAACTTAAAACTAGTAAGGAAAAGTAC